TCTGGTTAGCAGGCAAGTGTCTTAGCCACTATACTACCAGAGCTCCCTAGGAACCTTGAATTGAGGAAGATAGATTCCTTTTATATTGTCCCTGGCTATGAGCATTAATGGAGAAATCACTTAGCCTGTCACGGCATAGGTTTCTGAAGTGTAAAATGGAGAACTGAACTCATTATTTAATTCCCTTTTTTGTCTAAAAGTATATGATTCTATGATTATCTGGCCTTAGCACTTCTTGACCACTCACTTTCCAATCCCTGGTGTAGAACTATAGAACCTCCACTTACTCAACCCAGCTTCTTCCAATAACTTAAAGGTAGACTCCTTCCACACTCACCAGCAGCTAGGATAAAGTGCAGCAAATTTTTTTGTAGAAGATACAGGCTCTCTAGGAGCATTTATGAAACATGTGTTTGTGTTCAGTCTCTCACCCCCATTTTTACTCTCTTCCCCAGATGCTTGGTTATTTGTGTGCCCCTTATAGATACTCAGAACGAGCACTGGTGGCACAGTGGTTAAGCATTTGGGTGCTAAACAGTAGGTCACAGTTCAAACCTACTAGCTGCTCCACAGGAAAAAGATGTGGCACAGACCTGTACATAGACCAAGAAGCAGTTGTTCGAACAGAACAAGGGGATACTGCATGGTTTAAAGTCAGGAAAGATGTAGCTGGGGTTGTATGCTTTCACCATACTTATTCAATCTACGTGCTGAGCAAATAATCTGAAAAGCTGGATTATATGAAGAAGAAAGTGGCATCAGGATTTGAGAAAGAATCTTTAATAATCTACATTATGCAGATGACACAACCTTGCTTGCTGAAAGTGAAGATGACTTGAAGCACTTACTGACGGAGATCAAAGAATTCAGTGTGGATTACAATTCAACAAAATGAAAACAAAAATCTTCACAACTGGTCCAATAAGCAACATCATGATAAATGAAGAAAATATTGAAGTTGTCAAGGATTTCATTTTACTTGGATCCATAGTCAATGCCCATGGGACCCAAAAGAACCAAAACAAACTCACTGCCAGCAAGTTGATTCTGACCCATAGCGACTGCCTTTGGGTTTCTGAGGCGGTAAATCTTTATGGAAGTAGATTACTCAGTCTTCCTTCTGCAGAGTGGTTGATGGCTTTGAACTGCCAACCTTCTTGTTAGCAGTCAAATGCCTTAGGCACTATGCCACCAGAGCTCCTTACCCATGGAAGCAGCAGTCAAGAAATCAAACAACATATTGCATTGGGGAAATCTGCTGCAAAAGACCTCTTTAATAGTGTTAGACAGCAAAGATGTCAATTTGTAGACTAAGGTGTGTCTGACCCAAGCTGTGGTAATTTCAATAGCCTCATATATGTGTGAGAGCTGGACAAGGAATAAATATGACTGCAAATGAATTGATGCATTTGAACTGTGGTATTGGTGAAGAATATTGAATGCACCATGGATTGTCAGAAGAATAAACAAATCTGTCTTAGAGGAAGTACAACTGGAGTGTTTCTTAAAAGTGAGAATGGCTAGACTTCGTCTCTCATGTTTTGGTCATGTCAGAAGGGACCAATTCCTGGAGCAGTATATCATACTTGGTAAAGTGGAGGGTCAGCGGAAAAGGAGAAGCTCCTCAACAAGATGAATTGACACACTGGCTGTGACAATGAGCTCAAGCATGACAACAATTGTGAAGATGGTGCAGGACTGAGCAGTGTTTTGTTCTGTTGTACATGGGATCGGTAGGAGTCAGAGCTGACTCAATGGCACCTAACAACAACAACCCTCTGGTCCACTGCCTGGCACACAGGAAGCTCTCAGTACATCTTAGTTATTGTGATTACGGAATAGTTCAATGGTAGAAATCTTGCCTGTCCATGTGGAAGACCCTAGTTTGATTCCCCGCCAGTGCACAGCCAGCCACCACCCATCTGTCAGTGGAGGCTTGCATGTAGCTATGATGCTGAAAAGGAGCTCTGGTAGCGTAGTGCCTAAAGCACTTGACTGCTAACCAGAAGATTGGTAGTTCAAACCCACCAGCCACTCCTCGGAAGGAAGGTTGGGCAATCTACTTCCATAGTGATACAGCCTCGGAAACCCAAGGAGGGGTCGCTATGAGTCGGGTCCAACTCGACGGCATGTAACAACAACAACAACATGATGCTGAAAAGGTTTCGGGAGAGCTTCCAGAAGAAGACAGACTAAGAAAAAAGGCCTGGAGCTCTACTTCTGAAAATGAGCCAATGAAAACCCTGTGGCTCAAACAGTCAAATCTGCAACTAATCATGTAGATGGCACACGGTCATATAGTGTCTTGTTCCATTGTGCATGGAGTTCCCATGAGTTGGGGCTGGCTCAACGGCAGCTAACAGCAGTAACATTGTGACCATTGTTACTTCTTGTTCTCAGTTGTCAGATGATAAAGCATTTTATTTTTTTAATCTTGTGCACAGATCATGACACCAGCCTCTTATCTTATGGCCATGCTTCTCCCCTTTAAGCCATTCTGTACTCTGCCATTAACCTTTTTCATCTTGTCCTATTACACTCCCCACCCCTCCCCCTCTCTTCCCCAAAAGCCATTAATGATTTCCTGTTACCTACAGAGTAAAATTCAAATTTCTTTGTCTTTTACTCAAAGCCATGAACAATCTGGTCCCTTTCCAACTACCTTGTTTGTTGTTATGTGCTGTGGAGTCGACCCGACTCCTAGCGACCCCTCCTTGGGTTTCCAAGGCGGTATCACTATGGGAGTAGATCGCCCAACCTTCCTTCTGAGGAGTGGCTAGTGGGTTTGAACCACCAGCCTTCTGGTTAGCAGTTTGTAATTTAAAGCAAAGCACCTAAGATATTTTACATCACGCAAAACTTCAAAGGAATCAATAGTATGCATTAATGAAATCTAGGTTAAACAAGGGGATTTTTTTATTCCACTGAAATCTATATACCATTCCATAACTGGAATAATAAATGTAGGTCTAGATGCTGAATGTCAAGTTACATCATGAAAAGGCAATGTGTTCAAGAGAAAGTTCTCTGTGTACTAAGTAGTATGGGGTTTGCTATAAGATACGGTTAAAAGAACTAGTTTGTTTAGGTAAGAATATGGAAGCCTTTGGAAGACAGGATATTATTTATTTTTAGTATCCGAAGGATTTTCAAGTGAAAAAAGGACTGTATTTATTTTCTGGACATTATCAGAATCAATGAGTAGAAGTTACTGAAATGAAGATTTTGGTTCAATTGAAGGAAAGACTTGTAACAGATATGTCCAAAAAAAAAAAGAGTGTATTACTTTATGAGGTTCTAAGTTCTCCATCACTCAAAACATCCCAGCAACAGTTGGCTCATAATGTGAAAAAGAATATGATGGCAAATTGGATTGAATCAGAGGTTTTCATTTATTTTTTTTTCCCCCTAACTAAGGATCTTTTCTATAAAGCTCATGTAAAAATCCCAGTTACAAAACAGATCAAAGCAGTTCTAGTTGAAGCCTGTGTAGGACCTTTTTTAAAGATTCTTTTCTTTCTCAACTAGATATTAAGATTCCTGAGAGTAGACTGTAACATACATATATTTTTATATTTATAATGTATATCCCCCATAATATATTACCTTGGGATTGATAAATATCTGTTGAATGAATGAATAAAAAAAATGAATATATTAAGTTATTTTTCTTGAGGCATGTTTCCATTTTTAATAGAAAGGCAACCTCAACCAAAAATTTATTTCCTCAAGTGACAGTTCTATCCTGGAGGTCCATGAATCCCTAAGAAGGATGTGAATGCCAAATTTGGGAGCATGTACATTTTTCTGGGAATAGGGTTTATACTTTTGTCAGATTTTCAAAGGGATATGTAACCCCAAAAAGCTAAGAATCACCAATTTAATGGAAGAATTTCAGTTATCTACCATGGTCTGGTAAAAGGTGTGTTTTGGGGCAGAGAGGTCTTATGGACACGCCCCAAATCATACACATGTATACTGTCTTGATTGTAGAGCATAATTGAGCAGTCATGCCCCTAGGCTTTCCTGAGTACACTGCACTCAGTCTTAGGAGTCTACATACCGCTATACAGTAGTATATATAGGCTATACAGGCTATACTATACAGTATATATATATATAGGCAGGCATACCTTGGAGATATTGCAGGTTCAGTTCCATACCACTACAGTTAAGGAAATATCACAATAAATTGAGTCACACAAGTTTTTTGGTTTCCCAGTGCATATAAAAGTTATGTTTACACTATAGTGTAGTCAAGTGTGCAATAGCACCATGAAAAAGTTTCAAAAATTGTGAGAATAACCATAATGTGATACCAAGACAAGTGAGCACATGCTGTTGTAAAAATGGCGTCGATAGACTTGCTTGTCGCAGAGTTGCCACAAACCTTCAATTTATAAAAAGCGCAGTATCTGCAAAGTGCAATAAAGCAAAGCACAATAAAATAAAACAAGATATGCCTGTGCTTTCCAGGCAAGGTTCCCTGGCAGTCATCACCAGCACACTAATAGCCCAGATCTCCTGCATTTGGTCTTGGATTGATGGGGTGAGGTGATGTGGTAACTCCTGTTTTTGGGATGTTCCAAAATTAGAGACAAATGCTTTCCTTCTTGGACCTTTGCTGTGCAGAGGGTGAGGAGACATTGGGGTTCAGTGATAATGGTAGGGGTTTCTGTGTCTGTGTCACTGTCTATGCATATCAGTCTCCCGGAATCAGAAACCATTTCCAGTGAATAACCCTTAGCATGGGAAAACAAAGTATTTTGTTTTAGGCAACTCTCTCCATCCATAAAGGGCCAGACAGTCTGGAGACCCTTGTTTTTGTGTCTCTAATCACCAGCTCAGACAGTGACCTCTGGACTGTTTGGATGGTATATCCCTTTCCTCTCCCAGGATCACTCTCTCTTTTGTTTCATTGTGAGAAAATTATGGTTAGGAATTTGATCCGGAGCCAATGCCAGCTTCCGGGTGTGATCTCAGCGTCTAAGTGTGAGCTCAGGGTGCCATGACGTTGGCACATCTAACTGAGCAGCTTTATGTCTAGCCGGCTACAACCTTTTCCCTCCCTGCCCAGCCCATCCTCCAGGACACAAAATAGGGAGCAAAACAAACAAGGCCCTGAGATTTGGGTTTATTTAGCTCTACCCAGAACTAAGCCAAAGGGTAGGACACGTCCCAAGGGACCAAACAATACACATGGATCATGCACTCTTCCATTCCCCTAATGATGCTGCTACCTCTCAGGTGGTGGGCAGCTGCTTGCATCACACCTAGGAATCTGCTGGGTGCTGGGTCTGTGGCAATCAGGGCTCAACTCTGGCTGCCTCCTCCTCTTCATCTGGATCAGGAGGCGCAGGGAGCAGGGAGATGTAGACCTCATTGATCTCTGTGTCCAAATGTCGCCCACCCCTAGGAGCCTCCAGGTTAAGGATGCCATCATGGGAGAGAGCAGCGCGGACTCGCCAGGGGTCGACATCAGCAGGCAGGACATAGGTGCGGCAGAACTCTCGGGATACAAAGCCATGGCGGTCCAGGCGCTGGGGGTGCCTGGCAGACACCTCCAGCAGGTTGTCCACAGTCCTCACGGTCACCTCATCTGGGGTAAAATGGCTCACATCCAGAAATGCCTGGAACTTGCCCTCACTGAGCCTAAGCTCCGAGGCCCCTGCCCTGCTGCCCTCCCCAGCTTGGGTGGCCCGTGGCCGCACATAGTAGCCATGGTAGAGGGTGGGGGTCAGGATCTCTTCTGGCAGGAGGCCTGAGGGACAGAGAGAGAGAGAGAGAGAGAGAAGGGAAGAGGCAGGATGAGGAAGGATAAGGTGGGAACAGGGATGGTTTAAGTGTAGATGGGGAGAAGAGGAAGGGTGGGAGAGCAGGAGGGAGTGAGGAGAAGGGAGAGGAACACTGTGATTAGAGGAGGAGGAGGTTGTGGAGAGGGAACTGAAAATGGAAGTGAGATGGGATGAGGAAGGATAAACCAAACTGGGGCAAAGTGGATAGAAGGGGTAACTAGAAGGCACACCAAGGGGGATAAGCGGCAGGGATCTGAGCATTGTGGCACCCTGTCTGTTGTGAGGTCAGTAAGACGGGAAAGAGCTCTGCTAGCTTGGGAATAGGGGGGAAGGCAGTCTGGGGTGGGAGATGGCTCGCCCCAGGAGTTCAGTTAAGCCTAAAGTGGGGTGGAGGCCAGTAACTTTGGGAGATCAGCCCAGAATTTCTGGAGGTGGGGGTGGGAGGCGTGGGGGTGGTGTCTGTGCCATACCTTCTCCGAAGCGCTGCTCACCCAGGCGGCTCGGGTTGGCAAATTCATACTCGGCAGTGGCCGGGTGGGCATGGGGCACCGAGCGGCCCGACATGGCTGCAGATGCGTCGACGGCTCTGTTCCGAGGTGCAGCCACACTAGCACAGCGCGACCCCTCCAGCTGCCCGAAGAACCAGGGTTGGGTCGGAGGTGGGGGCGGGGTCGACACCACTCAAAATAGTGCAGAACCTCTGGGGGAGGGCGGGGAGCGGGGGCCCTGTGTGCGAGCGACGAGTGTGGGACCAGCGCCGCCTGGACCCCCAGCCCCCTCCCACCGCACGTCCTTCAGCTGTCGCAGGGTGCCTAAGAGGACAGCTGGGGGTTCTGGCTCGAAAGAGGCCTGGGGGAAGGGAGGCCGGCGCCCGAGGTAAGAAGAGGCGTGGCTGAGACCCTCAGGAACAATTTGCACAATTTCCACACTACCCTTTCTACTCCTCAATCACAGGCACCGTGCAACGTTAAAGCACTCCCGGCTGTAATGTTCTGCGAGCTTTGTAGCGTGAAAGAGGAAAGAAACTTTTCTACCCTTTCTGTGGGGTCAGTGGGGGCGAGTCTTCTTGCCTAGATTAGTGTCAGGGTCCTCTCCCAAAACCTGGTCAAGCCAAGACAACCCACTCAGATGCCGACACTGGCATGACCACTGCTCCAGGGACCCACAAAGAGTTAATATCCCTGGGGCCCAGACTAGGAAGATTCCAGTAGCTGGGCAGGCCCAAGATAGTTGCTGGCGCGATTCCCCTGGCATGCAAGACTGGAGAGGAGGGGGAGGGGTACACCACCCGCCTGCCTGCCTGCCTGCCTGCCTGCCTGCCAGGGATTCCTGACTTTGTCCCAGTCCCCAGAACAGAATGGGGGGGGGGGTGCCATGGGTGTGGACGGGAAAGCCAGTGAAACAAGACCAGGGCAAGTCACTGGCCAGCTCAGACGTGTTTGTGTTTCTCTTTTCTTAGCTCAGTGAGTATTGGGTATGTGTCACACTGCCAAATCCCTGATCACAAGTCTCCATGAACTGGTGGTGAGCTGGGATAATAAAACCCCTGACATCACCATTCCAGAAGCTTCACAAGACTGAGTATATAAAGGGCTGGCTGTAGCTGCGGCTGAAGGAGCTGACCAGCCAGCTGACCCCTCAACACTCACCTAGCCACCATGGACATCGCCATCCACCATCCCTGGATCCGCCGCCCCCTCTTTTCTTTCCACTCCCCCAGCCGCCTCTTTGACCAGTTCTTCGGAGAGCACCTGTTAGAGTCTGATCTCTTCCCAACTTCTACTTCCCTGAGCCCGTTCTACTTTCGACCGCCCTCTTTCCTGCGGGCACCCAGCTGGATTGACACTGGCCTCTCAGAGGTGAGTCTCTTCTCTCTGCAAGGACAGGAGAGTTCTTCCTGGAACTTTCTGGAAACTTCTCCATCCTTTTTTCCTTCACCTCCCTGACTAAACCTGATTATGTTCACGTCTCTCAAGTGTTTCAGGTACATGTGTGTCCAGGCATGAAGAAAGATAAGGTCTCTAGTCTATCTCTCCCCCAGTCACTTATTTCTATTTGATGATTCTCTGTATCCTATTTATTACATTTCTCCATGTGCTATGAAGATCATCCTCTGTCTGCTAATTTCCAAGCAGGATGCCCCTTCTCTGGTTTGGTTCACAGAGATCTGCAGGGGAAAAGCTGCCTCCAGACTCCTTTGCTCACCTCTTCTATTACTTCATCCTGACAAATTTTTTAACTCAAGTTTCGGGGCCAGGGGAGAGCCCTATCTCAGCCTGAGCTTTCATCCCCATTGGGTGAAGCTGGCGACAACCACCACTATTTTCTTCCTTTCTCTGATTCTGTGATTTTCCAGGTTTCTCAGGGTTGTAACTGGGCACTGGCCTGAAACTAAGCCTTTTGAAGAAGGAATGTAGGTCTAGTCTTGGAACTCCCTCACTTGTCCTAAGAGAGTAGGAGAATGGGGTGAATAGATAGGGCTGATGGGAGTTGTCATAGATAACACTCTGGTTTAAAAATATTCAAGTATGAGTAAACAGTAGCTGACTGGGCAAGGGCTTTGGAAGGACAAACAGGCCAGCAGAATATTCCAGATTGAGTGGGTGGGTAGCTTGGCAGAAACCTGAGCAAGAAGAAGGGGTCTTTGTCTTACAGGCAAATGACAAGAGCAGGCCTTGGGATTGAGAGGCAGCAGAAGCCATGCCCAGACCTATCCTTGTGCTTTGTTAAGTCTCCCTTGGTGACCTTTCTTCCCTGTCCCTGTAAATAAGATTAGGCTTGATAACCAAGTGGTATGCTTTGGGTACCACTGTGATGGGCTCCCCTAAACTTACTCAAAAAGATTTTTAGCTGAAAAAGGGGAAGATACACTACCTGGAGAGAAAGTAACTATAGAATAATGAGACTGCACCAATGTTATTAACATTCCTACTGTCTATTCTTCTCTCACTCCTCCCCTTGTCCCCTCTGCTATTTCTAGATGCACCTGGATAAGGACAGGTTCTCTGTCAACTTGGATGTGAAGCATTTCTCCCCAGAGGAACTCAAAGTCAGGGTGCTGGGAGATGTAATTGAGGTGCATGGCAAACATGAAGAACGCCAGGTATGTAACTTTTTAGTTCTGCCCATTCATTCAGTGCTAACTGTAGGCCAGGCACTGCCATCAGCTTCTGAGGCCAGGAACATCCCAGTTGCAAGCCCTGAGGATCTAGATCAGGGTCACAAATTAGTAGCTAGGAGATTAGTGACAAATGTGTTTTGTTTTGGCCTTTGTTGTTTGTTCTGATTTGATTGCCTTAGAGGGTACAGATGGAATGTTCACTTTCCATTGAATTCAGTGGTTGTCAACCTCAGCCAATCAGAATCATCAGAGGAGTTTTTAAAAATCTCAATGCTCAGACACACTCCAGTCTAATTAAATTAGAATGTTTAGGGGAGGAATCCAGGCATAAATTTTTTAATACTTTTAAAAATTATTCTCTAATTCTAATGTTACAGTCAAGGTTGAGAACCACTATTTAGGCAAAGTGCTTGTCAGATACCTGGTTGCTTTACATATAATTACCCTGACTGCATGTACCCTGAAGGCATTTGAGTTTGTGATTCCTCTTTTAGATGTTCAGGAATTCACTTCTCCTTAAGCCTGTCTCAATGCTGAATTACTTGGTTTGTCTGCTTTTTAGAACTGTACTCTGCTCCTACTACGCTAGACCCCATGGCAATCAGTTAATTGAGAGTCTAGCAGATTAAATGTTTGAGAATTAGCAGATGTAAGGATTAAGTACTTTTTGGGGGATTTTGAAGAAAGAACAGTTTCTTATTACACCAAGTATGTTTCTCACTAATTAGTGATAACTCAGACCTTGTGCATCAAACAGAATATTTGATGTCCTTAGGCTGGTTCAATTTTGTGCTCTCAATCAGTTTGGGTCATACTCTTCCTGGGTGGAATCATTTTTTTTAACCAGCAGTCTTGTTGTTTTAGAACTTTCTGAAATATTCCTGGAATAAGGACAATTTCTGTACTTCTTCAGGGACTGGCCAGCTGAAATGAGATTCAAATCCTGTAGGTCCAGAAAACACTGATCTAAATCTTTAGGAAATACCACTAAACATCTATGTCTCAGGGTTTAGGGAACTATGAAGTTTTGGGGTGTTTTAGACTTCTCAGACTCGTTTTGGTAGCAGTGACCACCTAGGCAACTTTATCTTAGTGCCAAACTGAAATGAATAGCTATTTAGCTTTTTCTCATCATGTTGCTATGGCATTTGATTCTACTTAAGGGAGTGGGGATGTGTGGAGTTGGGAAGTGGTGTTATTTCCTGTTCTTATCTCTCTGCTTTTTCCTCCTTCCCTTGGATTAGGATGAACATGGGTTCATCTCCCGGGAGTTCCACAGGAAATACAGGATCCCAGCTGATGTGGACCCTCTTGCCATTACTTCATCCCTGTCATCTGATGGGGTCCTTACTGTTAATGGACCAAGGAAACAGGCCGCTGGCCCTGAACGTACCATTCCCATCACCCGTGAAGAGAAGCCTGCTGTTACTGCAGCTCCCAAGAAATAAATACATTTTTTAAAAAACAAGAAAGCTTCCCACCACTGAATGAAAACCTTGTGACTAGTATTGAAGCTTATTAATGCTAAGGGCAGGCCCAAGTTATTCACCTAATAAAATTATCATTCAGCAACAAATAACTGTCTTGTGTTTGAATATTCAGTATGTTCTAAAATAAATGTGCTTGTGCAAATATCAGCAGATCTATATTTAATCATCACATTATGATTTTGGAGGCTTCTGGGATTTTAGAGTCCGAACGACTGGCTCTGCCACTTACTGATGGTATAAATTTAGGCAAGTCACTTAACTGTTCTGATTGTCAGATTTTCTATTTATAACAGGGGGCACTAATTTGTATAGATGTGTTCTAAGGGGTAAATTAAGGAGAAGAAATAAGTAAAGCCCTGGAAGAATTCTAAGAATGTCAGTCAGTTCTTTTCTAGCCTCCTCTTTGATTTTAGCCCTTAGTTCCAACAACTAGAGCAAATCTGAGTAAACTCTGGAAAACAGTATATAAAAGGTCTTAGTACACTGCTGAAATTAATTATGTCACTGGAGAGGAGATGGTGCCTCCAACATTATTTGACATTTTCCTGCTGGTAAGCACCGCTTTCAGCTGATTCACAAAGCAATTAATAAGAGTTGGGTGATTATCACTGAACAAGGCTCTCAAGCATAGTCTTTAAATTATCCAGCAAACACCTATAGTACTAAGACTGGGAAACATCCAATTTGATTACCCACAATGAAAAAGTTAAGGTTTAGAATTATAATTGATAACTTATTAACAAGTGAGTCCATTATTTAATTTAAACAAAGACATAGCCTACCAAAAAACCTCCATTTCACTTTTGTGGGTCTAGATAAAACTTCTGACCCAACTAATAAAAAATAACTTTGCTTTAGTTTATCTAGCTTAAATGTTTAGAGGCTACGCTTATTTTTCCTTTAGTAGCTTCGGAACAGTTTCTCATTTCTTGAGAATTGCTACCTGACCATGAGGTAAAGTGAGATTTTTGCCCTCACAAAGCCTACAGGTTTTAAAATATTCTCTACAAAACAGTTGTCTAAATTTTTCCTAGGGCAACATAAATTGCAAATCTACAGTTTCAAAATGCTTTCTGTTAAAAACTATTTCCTAATAGTCTGACATGCTGTGATCTAGCTAGAAGTCAGATTCTTCTAAACTTACAATTTCTGTGGCTGTGTTGCAGACACTGTTGGCTGCTTACCCAACAGCTGTTCATTCCCTTCAGTCTTGTCAACTGTACCCTAGATTAGTTTAGGTATTCACTAAATTCTTTCTAGGCCACGTGCTTCAGGGAAGGTGAACAAAGTTCTGGCTGATGGTGGCCAACCCTGATTTGTCCAAATAAATCATGGAAATTCTCTTCTCTCTCTTAGGGATTGGTTTTGAAAGGGCTATCATAAGCCAGGAGGAAAGTCTGCTAGAGAATCTTCTAGAAGGCTTCTTAACTTTTAGAAAGATTCATACACAAAAAAGAGATCGTTTCTATTTTTTTCTACCTCTGGATGTTGCAGCATGAGAATGTGATAAGTGAAATATGATACGCTGAGGAACGCAGAGTAGAAGATGGTAAGACTCGGTCCTTGATGGATCATTGAATTGCCGAATAACCAATTTTAGAGCCTCCCTACATCAAGATGTCTTATGCCTTATTATTGTTTAATCTATTTTGACATGAGTTTTCTGTTACTGGGCGGGGAAAAAAAAATTGACAGATGCTGACTTAAATAGTGTGAAAAATTCACCCATTTTCATCACAGCACTATTCATAATAGCATAAAGATGGGAAAAACTTAAATGTTCATCAACAGAGGAATGGATCTACAAACTATGGTACATACACACAATAGAATGCAATGTGAAAGAACAATGATGACTCTGTGAAACTTCTCATTAAAGGGATGAAGTTGGAGGCCATTAGGCTGAGTGAAGTTAGTCAATCACAAAAGGACAAATAGTGTAAGAGACCACCACTATAAAAAGTCAAGAAAAGGGTTTCACAAGAAAAGATATATTGAGTGGGTAGAGAAAGGAGTGTAAACCAATAACTAGAGGGTAGACACATATTAACTAGGATAAAGTGGGAAAAAAATCACAAGAAGAAAATAAAATACAAAGGATTAAAAAAAGGAAAAAAGATGCTAAATCTTTCAGAGTTTCAAAAAACACTAACACTTAAAAAAAAAAAAAACACTGAAGGATACCCTGGGTACCATGTATCAAAATCATACAATGGTTGCATTAGTTATAATCATTTTAGTAAATTATGAGGGAGTTCCTCAAGCAGACGTAATTTTAATAACTTGGTCTTAAATCACACTTGACTTTTAGATAATGATATTTATGTTTTCCACAAAAATGTCTTCAGAATATGCAGGATCACCTTTTTTTTAGTGTTACCTTGTCCAATTGGACTAGTTCTTTATTTTTATTCTATTACTGATCATGCCCTGTTTGCAGCTAGCTCCTATAGGTACTGTGCTAAGTACTTACATTTTTTAACTAGCATTATTTAAAGAAACTGTGGGAAATATGTATTTAACACATACATGCAATTTTAATAACCCTTAAAAGACCAGATGGATGTATTCACTTAATCATTCTAGATAATAATTTGATTTTGAAATGTTACATATTTTCATGCTTAGAAAAATTCTATTCTATTTTATATTTAACATGTCACATCTTATTCTAAAGATGTGAATGCAATGCACTGGTTCTATCTTTGTTTTCAAAATTTACAATGGTTACTCATTCAATAATATTTTAATGCCTATTTATGTGCCAGCTGGGAGCTCTGGTGACGTAGTGCCCAAGGCATTTGACTGCTAACCAGAAGGCTGGTGGTTCAAACCCACCAGCCACTCCTTGGAAGGAAGTTTGGGCAATCTACTTCCACAGTGATACTGCCTCGGAAACCCAAGGAGAAGTCGCTATGAGTCAGATCTGACTCCACAGCAGTGAGTGTGGTTTTTTGGTATTATGTGCCAGCTAAATCCCTGCGCTGGACTAGTAACCAGAAGATTGGTGGTTCAAACCCACCAGTGGAAGAAAGGCTTGGTGATCTGCTTCCATAAAGATTACAACCATGAACTCGGGATCACAGTAGCAGGGGACATCAAGCTCAATTGGCATAACATGCTACACAAAAACATTGTTCTATATCCTACTTTAGTGACTAGCAACTGCAGCCTTACAAGTTTACAAGCGGCCATCTAGATGCAACAATTGGTCTCTCCTCATCCAGAGCAAAAAAGATTGAAGAAAACCAAAGACACATGGAAACAATTAATTGAAGGGACTAGTGGACCATGCGAACCTCAGCCTACATGACCATGAGACCAGAAGAACTAGATGGTGCCTGGGTATCACTGTCAACCACTTGGAGGGGGGTAGGTGCAAGAGATCCTGGATAAAGTGGGAGAAAAATGTGGAACAAAACTCAAAATCATGAAAAAGACAAGGTTTACTGGTCTGATAGGCTCTGGTGAGATCCCCAAGATTATGGCCCCTAGGTACCCTGGAATTGAACTCACTCCTGTGGCTTCCAGCCAAACCAGAGACAGGCGCATAGGGTGAACATTTACACCAGGTAGATACACTCCTTAGAACAATTAATCATGGGAGAAAAGAAGGGCAGTATTTGCACAGGGAGAAAGCTCAGGGTGCAGGAATGCATAGGAAAGGAGGACACAGGGAAGAGGTAACTATAGGGAGGAAGTGTGAAGAGAGTGGTTACATTGTAGGGAGTGCAGTCAATGTCATGAAACAAAATGTGTGTAAACTGCTTATGAAAAAATAAATTTTCTCTGTAAACTTTCACCCAAATTACAATAAAAATTTTAAAAAAAAGAAAAAAGATTACAGTCATGAAAACCCTCTGGAGTGTGGTTGAGTAGCATTTGGAGTCTTAAAAGCTGGTAAGTAGCCATCTCAAGATATGACTGCTGATCTTCACTCCTCAGGAGCAAAAGAGAAGATGGAAATCAAAGTTTCAGAGAAGAAATTAGTCTTAAAGACTACTTGTGGCTAGCCTATGCAAGCCACAGCCTCATGTACCCTGAGACAAGAAGAACTAGATCCTGCCCTGCCACACTACTAACCCTTCTGATCAGGACCACAAAAGATGAACTCTGATAGAATGGGAGAAAAATGCAGAACAGAACTCAAACTCTATATACATGCCTTTTGGGGAGAGTTTGTTTTAGCTCTTTGCAGCTTCTATTCTTTGGTTCCTTGGTGATCTTCATATGGCATTGCATCTATCTTCCCCCATATCTGCTTGCTTAATGTGCTCTTTCATATCTCAAGATAGACTGATTTAAAACATACCCCATACTAATGCTCCCTCATTAACATAAAAAAATCATTCCCAAATGGATTATAACCACAGGTATAGGGGTTAGGATTTACAATATATGATTTTTGGGGACACAATTCAATCCATAATAGAGCTAACATGACATGAAGAGGCTTTACAGATCCTGGAATGATCCAGGACCATTTGAAGAGGGAAATGGTAACTGAACTTGCATCAGGTCCTAGTGCTGTAGAGCACAGTCCAAATACAGTCAGAGAGGCTGTCTCAATTCTAAATTATTTTACCAGTTGCCATTAAATTGACTCTGACTCATGGCAAACCCATGGGTGTCAAAATCGAGATTCTCCATTGGTTTTTCAATGGTTGATTTTTTTTTGGAATTAGATTGCCAAGCCTTTCTTCTAAGTTGCCTTTGAGTGAACTTGAACCTCCAACATTCCCATTAGCAACTGAACATTTTAACCATTTGCATCACCTAGAGACTCCAATCCTAATTCTAGAGGCAGTAAATTTGGAGGGGTCCAAATATGCAGAAAAATATGAGAACTCAAATTCTTAAAAAGAGTCCAGACTTACTGGATCAGTTGAGACTAGAAGTCTCCCTGAGACTATCACCTTGAGATATTTTTTAAACCTTGAATGGAAATTATCCTGAGGTCACCTGTTAGAGAAGTAACGGACTAGCACACAAAATAAAGGATATTATCCATGAACATGGTACTCCATTGAAAAAAACAAAACACCTATATTAGACCAGAAGGTCAACAATCATGCTAAAGCAAAGATATGAAGATAAGGGTGGCAGGGAACTATGTTGTTATTTGCCCTCTAGTCGGACCCGACTCATAGCGACCCCTCCTTGGGTGAGGCAGTATCACTATGGAAGTAGATTGCCCAACCGTCCTTCTGAGGAGTGGCTGGTGGGTTTGAACCGCCAACCTTCTAGTTAGCAGTCAAGTGCCTTAGGCACTATGCTACCAGAGCTCCCACAGGAAACTATAGAGTACTGGAAATACAACAATCAGAACACAATTAAAGACAATGCTGACACACTGTGAAATATGTAACTAAAATCACTAAACAATCTGTATAGAAATTTTCAAGTGGGAAGCTAATTTGCTGTGTAAACTTTCACCAAGGACACAGTAAAATATTATTTTTTTAAAAAAGAAATTGTTATACAGAGCACAGTCCTACTCTGAAGCACATAGATTACTATGAGCTGGAATCAACTCACTGGCAATGGGTTATGGGCCAGTTACAAAAATAAGACCTTTTTTTTTTTTTTTAACAAATTATGGGTCAAGTGGAAGAACAAGCAAATAAAAATACAACTCTAAGACATCTTTTCTTTTCTTTCCACTTTTTTTTTTTTTAATTATTTATTGTGATTCGGGTGAAAATTTACACAGCAAATTCACTTTCCATACAGCAGTTCACATATACTTTGTCTCATGACATTGACCACAATGCAACATCTCCCCTTCTACTTCCTCCTGATAGTTACCTCTTCCCTGTGTCCATCCCTCCATGCACTCCTGCCCCCTGAGCTGTCTCTCTGTGCATAAGCAGCCCTTCTTTCTCCCATGATTGTTCTCTCCAAGGAGTGTATCTACCTCAGGTAAATGTTCAACTTATATGCTTGTCT